AGACAGGAGATCATATTAGAACCCAGGCAGACCTTGAACTCAAGATAATCCCGCTTCCTGAGAGCTGAGATCACAGGCATAAGCTACTGCTGCATGTGACTTAAATTCCATTAAGAAGAAATAAAACGAGCTTTTTGGGTGTACACATAATAAAAGAGCATGGCTCCAGGGGCAGGCCCTTACTTCGTTTTCAGGACTCCTCCCTTCCTAAGGGGGCACCCGTAAGAGGTAAGCACCAATGGGCTTTCCCTCAGACAAGCTAAAGCAGGGTCCTTGGTCTCTAGCTCTTCCCATGTCTCCTTGACCCCTACCCATTCCACAGCGTCTGCTGAGTGCATACTGTGGCTACAGCACAGGCCGTGTAAATACTAGCCTGCCCTGGGAATGCTAGGTCTGACCCATCCAGAAGTGGGAAGGGGCTACTGTCCTGAGGACCCAGGCCCTAGACAAGGGGCTAGTCTAGGCTGCCTGCCTGGAGTGTGGCTGCTGTAGACTCCCCTGCTGCAGAACCTGCACCCCGGCCCAAAGTAATACTCTGCACCTGGCTAGTATTACTCAAGAGTATTGACCAGCTATCTGTGAAGTGAGTATGAGGCTTCCCTGTGTGAGCCTGGCTGAAAGCTCAGAGTAACTTGTAGAGTGCAAGTGGCCACCATGATCCCACATGAAAGCAAATGGCGGGACAACCCTGGCAACTACGGCCGCCAGCGCTGGGAAGGGGGCAAGTATCTTTGGCAGCAGAAGGGCTTGTGAAAATTAAGTAGTAGCTGTGTATGACTGTCGCCCGTATGTCAATCAATGTGCTAGCAGAGCTTGGCTTATGCTCACTTGTAGCTCCTGGTCTCCCCCTTCCCCCCCAATCAGGCCTGTACCCACAGAGCAAGCACACAGCAGGCCGCTCTGGGACTGGGAGAAGTTTCTGTAAGAGAACATTGGGCACTTTACAGCCTTTTCATCTGTCTCTGCTGAAATGTCCCTCTACCATTAAGTGTTTTCCAGGGTCCATTAGCTGGTCTGGAAAGGGACAGGCTAGATGGCAGGTGTCTGCTTCCTTCCACTTCTAGAAGAATGAGGGACAGAGGGCTCCTGCAGGTCATAGCCAAAGGCTGCTGGGCAGGTACTTTATTCTTTGTTTGCAACCCTCCTGTGGCCACTGTGTGACCTGTCTCTGTTGTTATCTGAGGAGGACAAAGCCTCTGCCCCGTGTCCATGTGTCCATCTGAGCCTCTGAGCTGGCTCAGTGGAGGGCCCAAGATGGGAGGGTGTGAAGGGGGAGGGGTGGACAGTCAAGTGCCACTGCTGGCTCACAAGATCAGTCGGGGGCAGCACACAGGAGAAATCCCCACATGTCCCTGGGATGTGTTCAACCTCTGGTGGCATCTGGGAGCATACCAAACAGAGCACTGGAAGCCCACTTGCGTTTGGAGTCTCCATCTGCCTGCCTGTCAAGGCTGCAAGGAGGTTAGAGACCCGGTCAGTCTGAAGACCTGTCAGATCCTGGGGACAGCATATGAATCATGGGTACACACAGCATGCTCCTCGTCCGTGCTGGCTGCCACCCTCCACGGGTGTCCTGGAAACCTGCACCTCCAAGGTGCTGCCCTGTGCTCACTGCAGCCCTCACCCGCCCAGAAGCCTGGTGATGCTGAAGCTCTCCTTGGCAACACACTGACGCAGAAACCAGCAGGCGGGCTGGGGGGATGGGATGGGGCGATGGCTCCTTCTCCAGGCATGGGGATGGGAGGGGGGCGCCATCAGCCTCAGTGAGAGGAAAGACAAGGAAGTGCCTTGGGGGTTGAGAGGGAAGAAGAGCTCTAAGGAACTGTGTACACAGCCTTGGCACTGGCCCCAAACTTCACTGAGATTTTGCAAAAGTGTGGTCTGTTTTTGGTTGAGTCCTTGTTGGGGCTGAGACTTTTAGGGCATTCCAGGAGGAGGAAGAGGAGGAAAAGGAGGAGGAGGTGGGGGGAAGAAGAGGAGGAAGTGGCTGGGGTAGCCCTGTCCCAGTGTCTGCCTGGAGGGAGAGATGAGGTGTGCTCCTTGCCTGCTGGTACCAGCACAGCCAGGGCAGCCAGTGGGAAGAATGATAGGTTATTGTCTTCTCTCTGCAGCCTGTTTGTTTTCTATCGTCAGATATTGTCAGATATTACTGGTGGAGCATGAAAGGTCAGAACCATTTGGAATCCAGTGAATTTCCAGCTGTGCTAAGGGTTTTCCATCAAGAATTTCCTTTTCTGGTGAACATCACTACTTCCTCAGGCCCATGGGGGAATGACAGAGAAAGGGAAAGAGAAAGAGAGAAAGGGGGAGCGTGAGTGATAGGAGGAGAGAAGGGCAGAGGGTAGGAGAGAGGAATGGAGGAGAGGGGGGAGAGAGAGGGAAAGGAGAGAGAGAGAGAGAGAGAGAGAGAGAGAGGTGTGAATGAGAATGAATGTGTGTAGGCTCAGCTGCAAACCCTTCCCTTTAGGAGATGCCCTGGCAGACTCAGCCTGGTTCCTGCAAGAGGTGTGCATGGGCCTTGCGGAAATCCCCACAGGGATGGTCCTGTAGGAAGGCTGGAGATAAGAGGCCACAGAGCTCCACTCAGGCCTCCCAGGGCCTGTCCCCAGGAGCTCCTTGCTCACATGCAAGCCTCCATCCACCCTGGGACAAAGGGCTCAATGAGCAGGTTCCAGGCCTATGACCAGGGAAGGCATCCAGTGACGTTTCCCCTGAGATTAGTGCTAGTCTGATGTATGGAGGGACAGGGAAGGGGCTATGAACCACAGGATGGACAGAGGGGTACCGTACGCACAAGAAGCCACCAACAGATAGCAGAGAAAAAAGACAACACGGAGGGGCAAGGATAGACAGAGTCCAGAAAGCGTGGGGCTACTTTTTGATCACAGATTCAGAGGGAGGTGGTCATGGACTCAGGGAGCAAGCACCCTGCCCGTTAAATCCAGGTATGTGGGCACAGAGAAAAAACAGGACCAGGATCTTGGTCCCGAGGGACTCTGCCATGCGTGCCCTGCAGATAGTATGTGCAGCCGTCAGGTCCAGGCTTGAGAGGCCTGTGAGATGAGCAGCTTCTTGTCAGCAGAAGTGTACAGAATTATAGAGAGCCTCTGTGGCTGGCAGCTACAGTGTGGCTGGCAGACTGTCCTTTATACCTTCCCTACAACCAACCCCAGGAAGGAGGTGCGCTTTGCCTGACAACTGGTCAACCCCAAACTCTGGCCTCAGCCCCTCTGTCATCGGTTAGGATGCTGCTTCTAGTTAGAGCCTCACATGCTGCTGGAGTGGCGACAGCCGGAAAAGTCAGATGGGCTAGAATGTCACTCAGTCACACACAGATACGGCCTGGGCACAAGGCAGACCCCAGGTGGCAACAGGCCCATCCCTATCTACAGCTTATCACCTCACTGACTGGAAACACCACCACTACCTGGCAGTTTCCAGAATGCCTGGATGGTGGAGGGGAGGGCAAAGGAGCCCTGCCTTCTGTCTCCATGGCTGTCTGATCTGGCTACAGGCTCTCTCTTTGTCAAGAACACTCAGGCATCCAGCACAGTGGCCAGAGCCTCCAGCCTCCCACAAACAACTTTGGGACATAGGTGCAAAGTTAGAGTCCTTAGATAAACTCAGAAGAATAGTAGTCACCACTTGCCTCAACAAGACCAGATGGAGGAAGAAGTGCCATCTTTGCCATTGAGCTTAGAGGCCAGTGTTCCACAGTGGAAAGGCTGGACCCTTGTCTCATAGCATGGCGGTGGCTGCATGTCCATGGATTCCTCGCTGGCATCAATGCCTTCCTCTGGGTACCACAGCCCCAGGCACTCATAACCCCACAGAGATTGTTACTCTCCTGTTCCCTGTGCTGTAAAAGGAGGCTCTTGGTTTTCACTGAGTGGTCCTGCCTGGCACAGTAGCTCTACCGAGGAAGACAGCTCCGAGCAGACCACTATGGTGTGTCTGACTGCCGGGCTTCCACTTGAGCTGTTGCTGGGAAGAATGTAGGTAGCTTGGGAGTCTAGCTTTCTGCCTCAGGTGGATCTGAGCATACTGGCTACCCTCTCCATACTTCTGCTTCCCTGTTTCTTCAGAAGCCCCCCTCTTAAGCTCTTCCAGCTAACCAATGGACCTAGGTCTTTTTCAGGTTGCTTCTATCCTGTCATGCCTCTGACACTCCTTCCAACACACTGGTTTTAAGCATAGAATAAGGGATTCAAAGAACCTCAACAATGGCCCTACAGCTTATCCACCAAGCCAAAGGTCAGGTCTTGACACCTTGGATTTACCCTTTCTTCACCAGGTCATCAGTAGACTCTTCAGAGCAGGAAGGAATCACGGGAGAGCTGCTGTGCTCAGGACCCACATACCATGCAGTGCTGGGAGGAGCTCAGTGGGTTTGCTAAACTGCCACATGGACCACCAGTGAGGCCCGGCTGGGCCTTGCATTGGATTTCCCCAGCATGTGGCACAGGCACAATCATGCATTCACTGTACTGAGGGGCAGGGTGACGTGGAAACCTGGGTAGTGGAGCCAACAAGCACTGTAAGGAACGTTCCAAAGTGCCATCTGTTGTTGGGGGAGGGGTCGTCGTAGCTAATAAAGGAGGGGTCTTTGCCTGCTGAGCCCTGTAGAGTCTAGGGGGGTTGTAGTGTCATTTGGATGGTGTCAGAGAAAGATCATCTAGGTCAAAGTGATGTCCCTCGGGCTGAAGGAGTCATAGGAAGTTGAGGTCCTATGGGATACCATCATGACCCTGCCCACTGGGGCTCACGACTCGACAGAAGTGCCTCGAAGCCCCGTGTCATGCATGGACTCACCGTGTTCCACGCCACATTCCCTCCCCCACCCCACCAGAAGGGGCGTGCTCCTAACTCATGGAAACACTAAAGGTGCCATCCACGTGGCTGGGCAAGGCTCAGTACCGGTCCTGACCGAAGCCTCTCTCTGCTCATACACGTCCGTCTGCTTCCCGGGAACACGCAGGAAGAGCCTCGGCTTTACTCACCGTCTGGTTGTCCTCGTAGAGCTTCAGGTCGTAGCCGCTGAGCTCCACGCAGAAGATGATGGCCGTGACGCCTTCAAAGCAGTGGATCCACTTTTTGCGCTCTGACCTCTGCCCGCCCACGTCCACCATCTTGAAGGTAAGCTCCTTGAAGGTGAACTTGTTCTCCACAATGCCCGTGGTCATGTCCCGGGAGCGCAGGATATCCTCCACCGTGGGGATATAGTCGGGTGCGGCGATGCGCTCCAGGTCATTCAGGTAGTAGGCTGCATTGTCCTCCAGGTGGTACTCGCTAGAGCGGCCAAAGCAGGCCTGGGCCCCGGGGTCAGCCCAGAGCCGTCGCATGACACCCAGCAGCTCTGGTGTAATCTCACCCTTGCTCTCTGCTGGGCCAGTCAGGGCAAAGAGCTGCACAGCGTCGTAGGCACGGTCAGGGTTGTGGAAATCGATCTTGAGGGCAGCCAGGGCCCGAATGATCCGGGTCAGCGAGTCGATGGCATTGTAGATGATGAGGGGCTTGTACTCCTTGCAGGCGTCCAGGTTGAAGCCGCCGCTGTGGATGATCTTCATCTGCTTGACGATGGTGCTCTTGCCTGAGTTGCTGGTGCCCAGCAGGAGAAGTTTGATCTCACGCCTCTGCCGCTGGCTCTCTGAGCGCAGGTGGCGGTCAATTCTCCGGGACCGCCGCGCTGCCTCTTTTTCCTCTGAGCTTTGCCGACATCCCATGGTCCGGCCGCAGCAGCAGGCCCCCCCGATGCAGAACACAGGATGGGTGCCTCTCCCCCTTGTCCAACAGAATGGTCACAATGAGGAATGCTGAAATGTGGGCTTGTATGAGGGGCAGACGAGAGAGGCAGCTGACGTGGATGTGCTCAGCGCTGGCTTTGGGGCAAGGCCGTGTCACAGTGCAATCCCTGCCCCAGAACCTCTTCTCCTGTGGGCATGGCGCTCGGGTGCAGTGGGGCAGAGACCACACCCTCCCCTCTAGTGACACTCCACCTCCCTTGTCAGCAGCGTGGCCTGATTTGCCGTAGTCATTCCCTGTACTCTGCCACGGTAGGAAGCTGTCCGCTTGCGTCTGCCCAGGCTACTGCTGTCTGCTCGCTGGTTGCTGTGGCGATGTTTCTAAGCACGGCTGGAGGGCCCAGCGCTCCCTGAGGCCCCCCTGCCTCAGGCTGCTCCGGCTCCCTGCCTTGCATCCGGCCCTTCACCTAACGAAAGAGAGAACAGTGTGAGCTATCTCCTGGGCCCACCTCAGGCTGGGTGGCAAAGGGATCAGCCACCGGGCCTCAGAAAACAGCATGAGGGTTCAGCAACTCCCAGACTTTTAAGTGCTTCAGGGCTAGCGCCCAGCCCACAGCCAAACCAATATGCTTGGCCAATGCCTCCGACTCTGCTTGAGGCCAGGCGCGGGGCAGACAGTGAGCAGTGCAAGGCTCTTGCCTGCTGACCCCACGCTGGGTCCATCTCTGCCATGTCTTCCTGCCTAACTGGACCTGGCTGACTTTGTCCCCCCTCCCCACTTAATCTGTTTGTCTGACTGGGGCTCCACAGTACAACCCTGTTGTGGGTGTCCACTCTTCCAGGACAGGGAGGGAGCTTGGCCCCACTCTACTTCACAGCACAGTCCTGGCTGTGGCCCTGCCTGAAGAAGGCCAGGGAAAACTGGGTATCTCCTGACTTTCGCCCCTGTAGACGCAGGGACATCTCTGTTGTCATAGGGCCAGATGCATGTGTATAGCGGGGTCAGGACAGAGCCCTGTCCCTGATGTCCCTTTCAGGGGGAAGTCGTGAGTGAGCAGTGCCCGGGCACAGGAAAGGTCTTGAGGGATAGCCAAGGCCTGCCAATCAGGGCAATACAGTGATAGCCTGTCTAGGGAGACGGTAGGAAGGCTGTCAGAAAACTGGGAACCAGAGTCCAGGCGTGGCTGCTGTGCTCAGGTCCTACATAGGGCTCAGGCCGAGTCTTTCACAGGCTCTATGTGGGCCAGAGTGTTAATGGGGAACAGCTGTATTGACAGCTGGAGCCAGTGACACCTGTTGACCACTAGAGAGCAGGTTACCCCCAAATCCTTCCATGACCTGCTGGGTGGCTGGGGCAGGGCAGGTCTCCTCCAGCAGGGGGCTCAGTTCTGCCTCTGACTGGAAGCCCAGGGTGCCCCACCCCAACATCATGGCCCATCTCTTGCCTTCTGTCTTTCCTCTGGTATGTCTTTGCCTGTCTATTGGACCTCAGGTACTTAAAAATCCATCTAATGCCCCCTTCTCTGATACCAGGCTCTGGGATGGAAGGCCCGAGGCAGACAGAGTTCCTAACATAAGCGAAGGCCTCGCTCTGCCTCCACTCCTAGGTGTAACCAGCACCTGAGATTCAACCTACCCAAGGACCCACATACTCCTTACACAGGAAATGGCAGCCCATCCACCATGCTGAGCCTCTCCTTGTCCTAGTCACGACAGGCCATGCTCTGAACCAAGCCCCAGGGCCCACAGTTCTGACTTTCTCCAGTGGCTGTGGCCTCTGGTCTTTTCCAACCCTTTGGGTCCACCTTCTCAGACAGTATCTCCGAAGCCACCTCTCTCCCCGAGTCCAAGCTTGACACCGCCCTGCTGCTCTCAAAGAGTGTACGTCTCAGTCTTCACACAGCCTCTGCTCAGGTACCCTGTGGCCTTTCAGCACCTTGGACAACTTACTCCACGCCTCTGAGCTTGTCCCCCTATGCTCAGAGGTATTAGAGGAGGAGCTGAGAGTCTAGCACAGAGCCTGGTACACTGTGAGTGCCAGGCAGAAGCGGTTACCGTTTCTGTCACTGGGAACAGCGTTGAGGTATCTTTACCTCCTCAGGCAGAGTTAGTTCATCCATTCCCCAGCTCTCTTCTCACCACTGCCTTCGTAGCAGCCCTCAGCCGATGTGTCACATGCATGACCTCCCCCCGACCCCCACCCCCGGCAAAAGGTGCTAAGTGAGCAATACTGCTTGCCCTGGCTTTATCTCCGCCATGAGCGGAGCAGTGCACAGTGGGGCCACAGTGCTTGGCGCACAGTGGGCCCTCAAGCAGGTGCTAGAGTAAGAGAAAGGGAAGGAAGGTAATGTTAAAGAACTACTCCACTTCCCCGTGGTCCCACCCCCGGGGGCAGCCATGAAGGAGCGTGCCAGAGACAACGGCAGATGCAGAGCTGCTCAGACTAGTCATTAGGTGTCATTCAAACCATCCCAAGATGTCTGAGAACGGAAGCCTTGAGATGCACCCGCTCCACGGTGGTGGCACACAGACGTCACACGGGGAGCCACACACTCCAGTGCGTCTGCGGAGACACGGGTCCGGCAGTCACTTCCCAGCAGTAAGGGGTTTCAGGGGGGGAGTCTCTGATGTGCATTTCCTTTAGTGAACTTTCATTAGGAAGGACTGTAAGCAAATGCTGTGGCGTTGATAAGGCCCCGTCTCTAGTCACACTACGGCTTGTCTGAGCCTCACTGCATGGTCTGTGAGCAAGCAGAGGTTCAGGATCAACATGAATGGCTCTTGGTCCTCACTAATGACCGATAGCCCACCCCCCCGCCCCAGGGTACAAAGGTGTGTTCCACCTTCAACCTGCTGTGTGTGTGTGTGATGTCTTCCCAGGAAGCCTTTCTAGCAGCTGCTGGGGTGGGGGCTGGGGCCTTATGTGCCAACATGGCCATTGCAGCATAAGGGGCAACTCCTGCCCTCCTGGGGCCTTTCCTGAGGGCATCTGGTAGTTTGTTAATAACATCCCCTCACCTCAGCATTTTAAAAGGCAAAGGTATAGCCAGGCCTCCCCAGTTCTTTATCTGGATGGTGTGAGTGGCGGAAGTCAACCAGGACACATGGTCCTGCCAATGATTGTCCCAAAGTGTTTGCTGAGGAGAAAAAGTAGGACCCTCAGGACAGGTTACAGTTACCACACTGTTAGTACCTGGCTCAGTCCAGACTGGTGACCCTAGTCTAGGTAGACGACTCCAGAGTTACGATTCCTGAGGGGAGGGTGGGGCAGACCCCTGCCTTGGTCCAGAGTTATATCTGAACAGAAGAGTCTGTCTACTTCTTGGCAGCGTGGCTCCAGGGAGCCTGTCAGGCCCTGCTTGCCCTAGTACCCGCTACTCTCCCTGACTACCTGTCTTAGGTGTTCCTTGCTGGAATTCTCCTGAGCCGGCAGTGTCCCTCTATGCTGCTTTTGCTTCAGCACTGTGTCTGTCTGCTCTGAGGTGTCTCCTGCCAGGCACACATCTCTCAGAGACTGGTGAAGCCACCTGGTTCAGGAGAAAGGCAGGCCGCTGGCGGGCCTGACAGTAGACAGTGGTTGTGAGCAGCGAGCAGGCAGGTCTGTGTGGGCAGGGTACCTAAGCATGGCACAGTCCTTCCCTATCTTGTTCCTGCCTAGGTGGCCCCCTCCCTAGCCCTGGGTCTGGAGAATAAAGAGAAGCAGCCTGGCCTCTTGGTCTCAAGTGATATCGAAGAAGTTTCTCTGTTTATGGACATGTGATCTGAGCTTCAGGAAATGAGTTTTTATCACCAGGAGGCTGTGGGGGAACTGGGAGAGGAGGCTGGGGGTGGGGGACAGTAGGCTACCAGTGGGGAAGCCTTATCAGTTGCTGTCTAGAAACCTAGAGCCCAGGGCTGGTCAGATGATCCTTGGGCACTGGTTGCTAGAGGACCGTGAGGGAATAGAGGGGAGACGGCAGTTGGGCAATGAGCTCCTGTCGTGGAGGCTATGTAGGGAAGCAACTGTCACAGGGAGGGTGGGTCCCCTGCTGGAGTCATCCTGGACTAGATCCCCAGGGTATCAGAGGCCTGAAGTAAATAAGCTGGTGAGCGGCTCTGTGGGGTCTGGTCCCACTTAGGCAATGGGGATGCAGAAGAACGGGGCTTGATGATAGATGTTCAAGTCCAGCTGTGCTGTACGTAGACCCTCAGCCACTCCTACCTGCTGAGGCTGGGCTCCTGTCTGTCCTTATGCCAAGTCGACCTGGATTCTACTGGGTCTGGAGGGACTCCTCAAAATCTCAGAATGAACCTCAATGTCATTTGGCCGGAGGTGGAGGCTCGGTGGGTGACCATGTGTTTTTGGTGTTTCCTGGACCAGAAACTGCTCATGAGTCCCCAGGGCGATACCCAGGATCGCACCAGCACAACCGCCCTTGGGTATGGCTAGAAATAACAGAAGTTGTAGGCAGAGGAGAAGCTAGCACAAGGGTTTGGAATGTGTGGGTGTGGACAGGAACGATGAACCACACTCATCGTGGAGCTAGAGGGAGGTCAAAGTGCCTCATTCAGAGATGATACAAGTGTGAGAGGGATGGGCATGGCAGGAGAGAAGCCTAGCTGGGGTTTGGGGTGTGTGTGTGTATGTGTGTGTGTGTCTGCGCTGGAGTACATGTGTTCCTGCTTAAATATATCGGTGCAGCTGTTCCATGTGACAGAGTAGGTGTGTGTCTGTGTGCAGTTCCACACGCTATCCTGGTATCCTCAAAGCAAGGCGGCCATGGACCAGAGGGACCAGCTGTGGTGCGGCAGAGAAGAATGGGCCTGGGAAAACCGGCCAGTGTATTATCTCAGACTTGCATACGAAGCCGTGGTTTTGAGTCTTGGGACTAGGGGTGTCTGTGCACTGAATAAGGCAAAGGCTAAATCCCTAAATTTGCTTGGGTAAAGCCGGCAGAGGTCAGACCACAGGCAGGGAAGGAACAGCAAGTGACAAGGTGCCAAGCTTTATTGTAAAAAATGGAGCACCAATTAGGAGGTCGGGGTCAAAGGTGGAGTGCACAGTCTGCAGAGGCAGGTAAGGCTGGCCTCCTAGCAGGCGATAAATGACAGCAAGCAAGTGGTGGGGCAGGCAGACAGGTAGGCGTCTGAGGATGAGGGGGTCGCTGGTGCAAGGCCTGAGGCAGCCAAGCGGTTGGAAGGACAGCTGGAGTGGAGCTCCAAGAGCAAATCAAAAGCCAACAAAGGTCTGGATGATACCACCGGCCTAGAACAGACCGGGGACAGCTCCGTTATACAGATTCCAGGTGACAGGACCGTGACGTGGCACAGGGCTAAGGGGCAGGTGGATGTAATGGCTAGCTATCGCAGGTGGTTCTATGAGACCCAAGTTGCATGGCAGTGGTGGAGCGGTGGCTGGGTGGGAGTAGGGAGGAGACAGGGCAACCCTAGG